TGGGTCGGGAAGATCCCCTGGAAAAGGGAATGGCAACTCACTCTAGTGTTCTTGCCTGGAGAATCCCATGGACAGAGGAGCCTGGTGGGCTATAGTCCATGGGGTTGCAGAGTCAGACATGACTGAGCGACTAACATTTTCAGTTTCCTTTACAATGGAGAGAAGTTTGTAACAATTGAGGGCTCAAGTAAGTCTACTGTGGGGACCCTCCCAACAGAACACAGCATCAGGAAGAAGGTCTTTCTTTCTCACTAAAGATCATGCTAAACTGCTTCAGTTTGAGGAACACGGAGATCACTTGTGGCTGGAATCTTCTTTCCGAACTTGCAGTCGAGACCCCCACAGATGACTCGGTAAAGTCTTGTTACAAAGCTGAGCATTTGGATGTCTACAGGCCACAATTATCTGGCAGCACCAAGGTGAAGCCTCTGGACAGATTTATCACGATCAGCCAGTTTATCTTGAAACTGTAGGCTGTTACTGTCCCACGTGTTGCTTGTAGGTCAGTTTTTTCCAAAGTGTGATATTTCTACTACTACTCACATGTCAAAAATGTTTTGGTTAGGATAATAAAAGTTTTTTTTTTTTTCTTTTCAAGCAACTTGATTTTAAACAAAAGTACTAAATAAAGGGAAGAAGAGTTGTGGTCTACAATATTGCAAAGTGCTTTTTTTTTTAAAATTAATTTATTTAGAGCTTCTCCGGTCATCTGGTGATTAAGAATCTGCCTTGCAATGCAGAGGACACTGGTTCGATCCCTGGTCCAGGAAGATCCTACATGCCATAGGGCGACTAAGCCCATGCGCCCCAGCTACCGGAGCCTGTGCTCCGCAACAAGAGAAGCCAATGGAAGGGAGACCCACGCACCACCACTAGAGAGTGGCCCCTGCAACTAGAGAAAGCAAAGAAGACTCAGCACAGCCAAAAATTAAAAAATAAAACATTAAAAAACTTATTGATTTATTTTTGGCTGCCTTGGGTTTTCATTGCTTTTCACCAGCTTTCTCTAGTTGCAATGAGCGCGGGGCTACTCTTCTTTGTGGTGCAAGGGATTCTCACCGCTGTGGATTCTCTTGTTTCAGAGCAGAGGCTCTAGGAGTGCGGGCAGGGTTGAGGCGCAGGGGCTTAGTCGCCCCGAGGCATGTGGAATCTTCCCAGAACAGGGATTGAGCCTGTGTCCCCTGCAGTGGGAGGTAGATCCTTATCCACTGTACTACCAGGGAAGTCCGCAAAGTTTTTAATGTCAGATTTGGTCACCACTGGGTCCATCGATGAAGGGAGTTCTCAGAGAGGCGGGAACATAACAGGAAACCTCCTTCATGCCTCCAGTCCCACTGTCAGCTCTCATTTCTCCTCTCGGATTCTTCCTAAGTGCCTGAAATCACTTCCTCTCTGCTTCCAAAGTCCTTTGTGTCTGTGTCCATGGTGACTCTTATTCCGTTTTATCTCAGTGGTTTTCCTCCCAGTTTGCTAGTCTTCTTAGCAGTGGACTCTCCTGGGAAATCACCTTGGTATTCCCTGCTGTGCTTGGCACATAAAGGTAAACTTTGAAGAAAGAGAAAAAAAAAAAAAGGGAGAATGAAAGCACTGTCTTTCCAGGTGTTTCCTGATGATTAGAAAGCAGTGATCCAAGGAGAGGGAAGGAAACTCCAGCTCCAGCACTGCTCAGAAAGCCAATTTGATTATTCAAGCAAAAGCAATCCATGTTTTAGGACAAAGATAGGCTTGTGACTTTCAGAATAGTTCATTTCAATTTATAAGAGCTCTGACCAAGCAGCTTTTTATTCACACAATACAGGTGCTGACTGAAGAATGGGAAGTTACCCTGTTTCTTTCACATTTCTGGCCCAGCTGATCCTGAGTAGATTGGGAAGTCAGTATTTGTCTATGGTGTATTCCCATCCCTCCCAAAATGGCCTGCTCTCCATTTGGATTTCCATTCTTGCTCTCTGCCAATGACATTCTCAACTTACCTGTTGATATTTAATAGACTACGCTTCCTGAATCAAACCCATTTTTCAAGAGGACTATGAGTCATTAATGCATCTAATGGGAAGGAATGAAGTTATAATGCTGGTGTTATGATCTGGAATGGAAACCTCCCCCCTCCCCTTAATCACTTAGCCAACTGCCTACTTTGCTTTCTTACAATACAGTTTAAGTTTACTCTGGGAGCCAAACAAAACAACTGCAACCCAGTTCAGTAGGCTGTTTGCCAGAAATTAAGTGCATAGACTCCGAAGCTGATTGCTAGGTTCAAATCGGTAGGTCTTCTTTGGCAGGTCTTCTGTAGGTTATCTTCTTATTAGTTGTATGACTTCGGGCAAGTTATAAAACATCTCCTAACCTGGTGACTTTATCTATAAAATGCAGCTCTGTTTTCTATCTCATCTGGATGTTGTGTTCAGTGAAATTAACCATGTAAAGTCTTTTGACGTGGGGTATCTTTTTTTGGTGGGTTCCAGCATTTTCCTGTGATGGTTGTTCAATAGCTAGTTGCGATTTTGGTGCTCTCGCAGGAGATGAGCGCACGTCCTTCTACTCTGCCATCTTGAACTGGAAGCAGGGAGCTCTTTAGTTGCTTTTGTCCGTCAAATAAGTCACATTTGGACTGCATCAGGCCTTAGGCTACCGGTAAGGGGCAAAATGCCTACTGCAGTTGGTGAGCTCTAGGTGGCGCTAGTGGTAAACAACCCGGCTGCCAGTTCAGAAGACTTGAGACTCGGGTTCCATACCCGGATGGGGAATGTCCCCTGGAGAAGGGCAGGGCAATCCACTCCAGTATCTTCGCCTGGAGAGTCCCATGGATAGTGGAGCCTGACGGGCTACGTTAGGGTTCATAGGGTCGCAAACCTTCGGATATTACTGAAGCGACTTAGTACTCACGTGCACTAGATGCTCCCAGCTCTGATTCTCTGTCTCTCTAAGAGACTCTTTCATTCTAAGTTAGGGCTTTCATTTTAAGTAGGTGGCTATGTAGCCAAGACCGAGCCTGGGGTGCTTAGAATAGTAATGCCTAGAGTGGGAGATCCCTAAGAAATCATCTGCTCAGCTCCCTGCCTTTTGAAAGGCAAACTGTTACTCCCCTACTTCGCAGACAAGTGAGGTCCAGGGAGACCCACTGACCCAAATACAGACACTAGCGAGTGGTGATGATGGATACACTCCATTAGGAAACAAGACAATCCAGAGCTGTTAGAATCAGCGACCATCCTAGTTTCCAAGGCCTGAAAAGTCTATTAATTTCTTTATATTCTCCAATGCATAGTAATTGTTCTCCGTTTCTCTCTGCACCTCCCTGCCACTTCCTGGCAGCCCTGGCGGGTGGAAGGTTTCCTCTTTTTGGACCGAGAAGGCCCCGAGCCGGCTTCCGGACGGATATCCGGCCCGCGGGGTGCGCAAAAGGCAAAGACCTCACTGTTTTTGGGGGTCAGCCCGCCCCTCTCCCAGATCCGAGGACACTTGTCGCAGACCCGGGGTGTCCCACCGCCCATTTCCCCGGGGCGAGGCCTTCGGAGGCAGCAAGGAGGCGACGCTGAGCGCAGATCTGGGGTCCGGCGTTCTGAGCATACAGTGGGAAGGCACTAACAGCCCCAAGATAAAAAAGCATGGACTTGGAAAACGAATGTCCAACACACACTTGGTGCTGTTAATTCACTCATGTTTCTGACCCTGGCGATTCCGTCTGCGTTTTTATTAATATGAATCAGTTTGGGTTGGAATGAAGACACTTGATTCGCGGCCCCGCGTGGTGGAAGGCAGGTTACCGGTCGGCATCCCACGCCGGGATCCCCGGAGTCGCAAACGGGTGTCCCGGGGCGCAGAGAGGGCTGGGGTTTGGACCCGTCGTCCGCGTGGCCCTGCCGCCGCGCTTCCACCCCGCGGCCGCCGAGGGGCGCTCAGGCTGCGCGGGTACCGATGCGGCCGCCAGCGCCGAGTCGCCGCCGACTCGCAGACCCCCTTCGCGCCCTCGGACGGGAAACAAAGTACCCCTTTGTCATCCACCGAGCGCGTGTGCGACGGCAGCATCTCGGCCGGCCGCCGCGTGCGGGGCCCGCGGGCGCGCCTGGCCGCCTTTGGGCTGCAGCCCCCCATCCCCCCCGCCCGCGTGGGCTTGGCGTTCCCCGGAGGAAGCCGGGCTGCAGGTCCGGGCGGCCTGACCTCCCTTCCACCCAGAGCACGCCAGGCGGGGGGCGGGGGGGGGGGGTAGGTGGGGCGCAGAACCGGCACCGGCTCCTGCCGGACGCAGCGGTTCGCCCCGCTCTGGCCGTGGCCCATGCACTTCGTTTTCTGGGCATTCGGCAGGGCGGGAAGCGGGTGAGCGGGAGCACCCCTCCTCCCCGGGCGTGGATGTGCGAGAACGGGCCCCAGGACTGGAGTGGGTGTGTAGGGGGGGCTTCAGCTCCGCCGAGCCGCCTTTGACTCGCCAGCTGCACGCCCCCAACGCCTTCCCTCCGAAGGCACGTCCCGGGGCGGTTCTCGGATTCCCGCAGCCGCGCGTCAGTCCCGGCCCTAGCCCAGCGCGCGGGGCCGAACTACAAGTCCCAGCAGGCCCCGCGCCGCGAGGGCCGGAGCGGGAGGCGTGGCCCGGCCCAGCGCCTGCGCAGTGCGGCCGCCCCGAGCCTGCGAGTACCACACCCCCGGGACGGACAGAGGGGAGGCAGAAGCATCCGAAGCCTTAAAGCATCCGCGGGAGCCCGAGTGGAGGAGAATGGAGTGACAGAGCAGCGCGCAGGGTGGGGGGTGGGGGGGAAACTGTTGAGGGAGGGGGGGAGGGGGGACACAGAGGGAGGAAGAAGCGACGGCGGCGGCTCCTCTTTGCAGAGGTGGAAACTCCGAGGGATAAGAGCAAAGAATAATGCGGTAGGCTAGGCGGGCTGCTCGCTCCCGGCTCCGGCAAGCAGCGGCAGCAGCCCGAGCAGCGGCAGCAGCAGCAGCGGCAGCACCGTCAGGCGCTGACAGCCCCGCCGGCCGGCTCCCTCGCTGACCGCCGACTGTCAATGGAGCTGGAAAACATCGTGGCCAACACGGTCTTGCTGAAAGCCAGGGAAGGTAAGAGGCAGTGCGGGTGAGTGCCTGGCGCCTTCGCCACGAGCCGGGGTACCGGGCGGGTGCGGGATGCCCGCAGTGAGTTTGGTCGGGAGCAGGGCACCTCGGAGAGTGCTCGGCAAACGCTTCACGGCTCCTGCCCTTGTGCTCCGGGAACCTGGACTTGGGCAGAGAAGGGGAAACGTCACGTCGAGGTTGCAAGGATTAGGATGCTAAGAAAGAGTCCCTAGTTTCCAGCTCTAACCTTACCATGCCGTGCCTTCTCGGCAGCTGTTGAAAGGTCAGTTGGAAAGGCATTCATTCAGGAAGAGATGGGCAAACATGCAAATCAAACAGCTTTTCCGAGTTGGCCCGGGATGGTTCTGTGAGTGAATTCGTGTGTGGGGGGGTGGGGGGTGGGGGGAGCGGTGGAGGGGCGCCGGCATAGTTGATAGAGGTTATTGCTGGAAACCATCCGCTGGGAATGCTTCTTAGGGAAATCCCATCGTGTGGAAGGAAGCCTTTTAAAGGCAAAGTAAGATGTTGAGGAATTAGCCTGTTCACATAACGAGAGGATGGCTGTGCAAATCATGTAGAAAAGAATTCATGATTTCAGGGGTGGTTTTTTCCCCCATTGAGGAGAGAGAGAGATAAGTGGATTTTTTTGGTTTGGGGCTTAATTAAGAAAAGAAAGGTAAGTGTGCCAGTGCTTAGATGTGTTTTGGATGCAAATCATTAGATTTTCTGCATTAGGTTGGCAGGAAATATCGTCTAAATGGAGTGGGTAAGAAGCTAAGTCGAGACTATAAACGCACTTTTTGACTCTTCCTTGAGACGGAAAGAGGGAGAGGGTGAGAGAGAAAGTGCCTCAGAAACTTAGATGCTTCCTAAAATGATTCCGTGCGGGTAAGCATACATATTTAGGAACACCTGGAATTTATGTAACATTTCTTTTGCCAAGATTTGAGCTCTGGGTGCAGCCTTTTTATGAAAAGGGAAGTGGTTTTCCCTTTCATGGGAGGAGGCTTTATTTGACACCCAAGGTCGAAAGCAGTCTCGGTAAGGTCTTGACTTCAGAAGAGTACACCGCGAGCAGTCCACGAAAACACCCTATTTACTTCTTTATATTTTTCATTCACACACTTTGATGAATGAAGGAAGACTTTGCTGGCCAGCAGTTCATGTTTATCCAGCCGATTCCATCACCTTGTGGCACTGTACACGGTGTGTGAGTAGGTGATGTACAACTCAACAACTCATGTCGTAATTTCAGCTTCGCTTGTCTCCAAAGCAGCAGCCTGGAAGGTTTGCTTCGGAAACTCCAGCCGAGTTGAAAATGTGCAGGTCTGTTCTTACCATTGCCCAGCTTTGGTGTGAACAGACTTTTAACAGAGGCTGTTCCTGGTGACTTCACTTTCTAAAGCCCGAGTATTTTCTTTTTTCCTAACCCAACATTTTTAGCAAATTGGGCCAAGAGGCTAGTGGGCTGTCTCCTGAACAGGGCAGTGAGTCCTGGAGGGGGAAAAAGCGGAGAAAACAGCCCCTGGCTCACAGCCTTTGCAGCCGCCACCTAGTGGTGGAATATGGCTGTACACCTGAGGGCTCGGGGGCTGGGAAAGTTTTCCCTCTCCATTCTGAAATTTTTTCCTGGGAAATCATTGGATGTGACGATACTGGAGGCTTTGCAAGTTTCACTGGTTTCTCCTGTTGCCCGGGGAATTCTGCTGCCTACATTTGCTGCTCTACACACTTATTTGCCTCGATCTTGCTTTTTTTTTTTTTTCCTTAGCATTTGATTGCTTCTTTTAAAATGTTTTGCTTGGAGTGCGCAGAGTATTATTAATTTTCTCCCCCAGTTTGGTCTCCCCAGATTTTTTCACTGAAATGAATGCACCGCTTGGTAATTTTGTCTGTCAGGTTAACAAATTGGTTTTTTTAGAGCCTTGGAAAAGAGAGCTACAGTCTGGAGGCTTATATGGAATGACCGAATTACAGTGATTAAAACGTTCTCAAGAATGTGCTTTTTACTTCCTTTTCCTTTTAAAGTCTTTTCAATTTCTCTTTGAGAGTTTGGTCATCATCTCAGGGTGAGAAAATAGCTCCTGCAATTCCTTTGAAATGGAGGGGGCCTTCCCAGTAAGAATACAGAGAAACTGACACCTGAATGAGAAAAACTAATTACTTACATGGAAATTTCATTTTGAAATCTGCATTTCTCTTTTATGTCTAAAGAGAACCCATGATTTTAAGTGCTTCCGTTTTCTTCTCGCTGGGTCTTTATTAAAGATTTGAGCACATGTATTCTAATTACTGTAGAAGCTTTTAGAAATAAAAGCAATTTATTTTTCTCTTTTCAATTCTTACATAGTTGAAGTCATTCTTTTCAGTTAAATAATTCTCCTAGTAATCACATTACCCACATATTCAGAAATGAAAGTTCCAGTCAGTGTAATGAAAGATCTAACATAAAATTTGTAGTATCTCTAAAAATCTGAATTGTTTACAGTGTTTAAAACCACTTCTTCCTTGAAGATTCCTGTGAGTGGTTATAAATGAGAAATATGGTTGGTGAATGGGAAATTTAATTTAGTTCAGTTAACAAAATACATTGTAAACAATTTAAAATGCGGCTTTCAAGTAAAAGTCACATTTGTCCCAAACAATAGAGAAACAGGCCTTGAAGAAAGACAGACACACTTTGCAAATGCTATGAATTTGTAGTTGTCTATGTTGGTGGGTAATTTGGGGGCCTATCTCTTGTTGTTATTATGCGTTCTCAAAGGCAGATGCCTTCTAAATTCATTGTAACTTAAAATTCTTACCATAATAATACTTTTAGAAAGTGGAAAAATGAGTATAGCAATAAGATAGAAAATCTGTAAGTGAATTAAAGTGGTTCATCATTAATAATTAGAAAACATTGGAAATAGCTTGCACCTTTGTGACTGTTTTTTGAAATAAGATGGAGATCTGGGTTCAAAATTATAAACCACCCAAATGTATTTTGTTCTGGACTCAAGAGAAAGCATCAACTTGATCACTCTTAGGAACTTTAGATTACTCTCCTAAAAAATGGGTGGTTAAAGGTGAAAAAAGAAAAGAAGTTGAGACTGAATTCATGCCAATTTATGGAAATGAGCTAAGTGATTAAGCATTTAATGAAAAGAAACCCAAGACTAATTCTATCTATTTACATTTCAGAATCTCAGAAAATTGGCAAGCACACTAGTGCTGAAATCATAGTAGTGAGAAAGAGTGTTTGCAGAGGGCCTTTTGTGTGTTTCCTTTTGATTTTATTGTTGCAGTAAAGGTTTTTGTGATTTTGCCATATTCTAGTGTTTTGTCTCACTTCTTTGAATGGCGGTGAGAAGAAATTTTGTAAGGTCCCAGCCTTCCTTTCTTCCCAGGGCAGTAGTAGCCATATTTGATCAATAAAGAGGACAGAGAAGGCGTATCGATCACATTTTCCTGAGCATGGTACTAGCAGGCACGACTACAGGAACTGAGAAGTCAGAAACGTCATGATTTTGCCCTTGGTCAGGATGTCGAAAATCAGAACGTGCAAGAACCTTTCACTCACAGATCTCTGTAAATTTGTTGGCCTGGATTTTCCCGATGATTAAGATTGGGGACCTGGAAACAGGTGACCGCAGAGGCTGGGAAGGGCAGGGGAGGGGAGGGGGTTTGCATGCAGCCAGCCTGCTGGGACAGACTCAGCATTCCACAGCAAGGCTGAAAGCCCTTCTCTCTTTTCCTTGCACCCCTAGTTCATGATGACAAAATTGAAATATCGTTATCAGAACACTGGAATGTCCCTGAAGCCCGCAGCCGTTTTAACTGCTATCGGCAGGCGTACTTAATCCACCCCCGTGGCTGCTTCTGCCCGAGAGCTTCTCTGCACAGAAGAGCCGCAGTTTTTGCATCCTGGGCGCCGGCAGCTCATCGTGTGTTAAAGCTGCTGGGCCTATTAAGTACAATGCCATCATTAAACAAAACTGCCTTTTACTTTTTCTGAGTTTCTTTTCAGTACTGACAACTTGGACGTGGAGAAACGAAAAGCAAATGGTTTCAGAGGCCTTGCTTTCTTACAGAAAGGTTTCAAATGATGCTTTTAATTAATCTAGCTGCCGGTTTTTAAAACCATCAGATAAATGCCCTCAAGACTCTCATCTTTCAATAGCTTAGCTGCTTCTTGTCAGATTCTAAACTCCAGAAAGCTTGATTCTTCCACTCCCTAGACTAATCCTTGTTTGAATTATGTCTTCAGCAGCCATAACTCTTGTAGTGGCTTGCTAAATGATACTCTTTGGGTGTGGGCCGAAGACTTAAATAACATCCGAATTTCAGGAAAGAGCTCAGTGAAGGACCAAGTTGACCTTTACCAAGGGCCATTCAACCCAGACTTGGGAACTCACAGTCTTCTAATGAAATGGTTTCAGGACTTCGGTCAATACTTAAAGTTAACAATTTGTTGCCGGTATATTTGTGGCTCATGGTAAAGCATTATAATATCTTAACATTTTTGAAATAAGTCTTATGGTGACAAAAAGATCTTACGACAATAGATCATACAATTTTAGGTGAAACTTGAGAAGATGATAGAAGGTGACTAAAAACAGGTGACACATAGGAAAGAAAAGGGAATTTCTTCAGTCTTACAACCCCTAGCCCCCACACCTTACTTCAAAATAGAATAGTGAAGATAAAGGGTTTTAAGATGTGATTTTTAAATGATTAAAAATAGATTATGTGGGCTTAAGTAATAGGAATGATTTTTACTTTGAAACACATGCTGTTACATTTCAGTGGAAAATTTTATTTTAAAATATCCTAAATATTGAAAAGATTTTAATCCATAAAGCTTCTTAAAATTTTATCTTTTGGGGATAAAGAAATATTGTTGCACTTAATACCATCCAGACAGTGGGGGAAGCACCCCATTTGGTATAAATCGTGCTTACTTTTTTTTTAAGCACAAATTCTTTATTATCAAATATTCGAACAGTTATTCATGTTACCTTTTA